TAGTATAGAATATATGTGACCACTTTCCATAGATTTAATCTTGTTCTAAATGCCCTTGACATATTACAATAAATAATATTTTTAAATATAGCCATGGTACCAGAAAACAGAATGGTAACAGAAAAAGGAGTAGGAGGAGAAAAATAAGTTAATTTGTTTGCAAGAAAGAATTACATCCTTTTTTTAAATGTTGCTATAGGTAATAACTTAATGAACTTATATAGGTAACAACTAATAACTCAAAATGGCTGTGCTTTAGTTTACGGTCGCACGATTTTCGTGATAATTTTAATTTTAATAGGTAGGTGACAGGTCATTGAAGTAAATGCTAGAAGGATTTTCTGCGGAAACTTATAGTTTTCGAGAAATTAATTTTTTAAGTTTTATAGGTTAACTACTAGGAATAGTTAAATATAACTTTTATGCATGTACTTTATAACATGTCGTAGGATAATATGATGAACAGATATCTAGGGTAATCGCGAAAACACGGCTAGTTAGATAATTGTTCTAATCATTTCGACAGATTCTAAAACCGAATTAGCACACCCCGACTCCACGTAGTCTTGTCTGCCCTACCCCTAGAGTGTTTTTGTAAAGCCGTAGGCGCGGAGGGAGAGCAGCCCCCGCCCACTGTAGAAAATCGCAGTCACCCGTGCGAGCCGTAGCGGCTGAGGCTGGTCGCCGAAGGCGGCGACCAATAAGCCGAAGCTGCGGAGGTGAGCATGGGTGACTGCGATTTGCTACGCAAGGGACGAAGGGGCTGCACTTCCCGCAGCGCCGAAGATGTTACAGAAGTAACTTTTCTTTTCATTTTTTATTCTATTATCACAGAATTGTTAGGCAAACAGGAATTATTTTATAAAAATTAGTGTACAAAATAACATATTATTAATACAAGCAACACACACATTAATAACATATGATCTATCGTGTTTTTGCTCGATTAGCGCATCGCGTAAATAAAGTTCTTAGAAACATTTAGATATCAGTATACATTTACATATAACTACATAACAAATATATCAAATAATTATAGTTCTTACGAGTATATAAATAGATTACTGAAATTTCTTATATAGTAGTAAACGATACTTAGTATGCATAACGATATCAGTCGTTGTAATGGAACTACGTTATTACAGATACAAAGTCAATGAACGCGTTCGCGTATTGGCTCTTTTGTTTTATTTGTGCCTACATAGTTCTCTATATATATATATATATATATATATATATATATATATATATATATATATATATATATATATATATATATATATATATATATATATATATATATATATGTGTGAGTTCAGGCCAGAACAAAACTGGTGACACGTCAGGTTTGGTAAGAATTGAGTCCGTTGAACGTAGATCAGCCCCAGAATCGAACCCCTGTAAGTAAGAAGGTCGAATGTAAAGCGTCAGACGGGGTAGAGAGAAGATTAGAGCCTCCTCCCCACTTGATTTAAACAAATACCATATTAAATTAATCAATATCAATATTTTATAGGTTAGGATAGATTTTTTTGATATATTTCAGAAACTATAGGTTTCCGCATCCCCCCCCTTTTAGGGGGGGGTTCACCACTACCCCCCACCCCCCCAACCACCTCCTCACCCCCCTCCGCGTGCGACCGTAAACTAAAGCACGACCCTCAAAATTATTTGTAAAAACAACACATAACTAGTAATTTTAGCTTTAATACAAAATGTTTACCTCAAATTCCGCGGGTCGAAGCTGTCCAAAAAATATTTTTCGCAACAATTTTCCAATAAGAAGGACAAGAATAAAACCTTGTAAATACATTACCTGAAAATGAAAAATATTTTTATTTTTACTTACAGTATTATTGAAATATTTACAACTACACAATTTGTTGATATTGGCATTATGTTTCTGCTATTATATTAAAAGATTTTTAACGCCAAAAAGCAAGTAGATTTATAAACGACATTGTTCACAGTTTAATAAACATGTTGCAAAAGCTTCCAAAAGGTCCCAGTAAAACAATAATGAAAATACTTACAGCCATGCTAGGATTTGAATTTGTAAGGTACACTATTGATGGATAAAATTGTTTCTTTTGGTAGTAGGCATTGCCGATTACCACAGTCGTAAGTGCAAGACTGATTACAGTTGCAACTAAAGCCTTCATTTTGTTGGTAACTCAATACGTCCGACACATTAAAACACTTGAGATTTTCATACGAAATAACTAGAAAATTGTCTAGACACTCCAAAACAATATAATTGTCAACAAATACATTTTCAAAACATCGTTTCGTATCAGTCGCTGAATCAAAAAACTAATTTTGACGTGTTCAATGTTCATTAGTGTCATTCGTACTTCGCATAGACAACAAATCTCTGACTAGAGTTCACTCTTGTCTACGGTACGGACTCGTAGACATACGTAGACACGTTTAGAAAAGGGTTTTATAAGGGCCTAACCATTAAATTTTTTTAATACCCAAAAAAAAAAAAAAAAGGGCCAGAGAAACCTATAGACTAATGATTAGCGTGGCCTCGAGTGAGAAAGGACGACAACGTAGTTTTAGGTTATACAATAATCTTTATGACTTTTAAACATATTTAGATAAAGATTTAATTGTACTAAGAACTGAACAAAACAAGATTCACCAATCTTAAGCTCACAGAACACTTTTTTTCTCACATAAACCAACTTGTAAACTTCTTAGATCGCTACGAACTGTCAAAGTTGTTTAGCAAAGTGTAGTTTGCTAAACAATAAAACCGGCACGGAGAAAGGGACAAACTATGCAAGACGTATGCATAAATCTATCTTTTTCGTGTGCGAATGAGAAAGAAGGCGTCAATTTGTCTATAGGTTTCTCTGTTTGCGTAGACATATAATTCTCTGCACAAACTAATAAGAGTACTATGATATTATTATTATTGTGGTATTAGTAGTGTTGTAGTATTGTCATCTGGTTGGGATGAATAAATATATAAAAGAAAATGATAAATATACATAAATATATATTTCATAAACCATCACAAATAAATAAATAATACATAAATAAATAAAAGCCCAACCAGATGGAGGGCCTCGGCAGGGGAGACCAAACGGCCGAGGGTTAGGGGGAAAGAGAGAGAAACCGGCGGACGATGCGGGCGGTATCGAGGAGCACCGCCTTCTGCATTTGAGCCTGGAGCGGTTCGTCAAGGAGTCCCAGCCTCCTCAGATGACCCGAGAGGCTGACTGGGATTAGCTCGTTTGCAGAAACGACTACAGGAATAATTTCAGTCGGCAGACCACCCCACATGTCGGTCACCTCGTGAGCCAAGTCCAGATATTTTGTTCGTTTATTTGTTTCGGCTTTCACGAAGTTCTCGTCATACGGAATGGTAATGTCGACCAAAAATATCCTTAACTGTGTCCGGTCCATCAGCACAATATCAGGTTTATTCGCAAGAATAGTCCTGTCTGTGATGATGGCCCGGTCCCAGTAGAGCCCGGCGCGATGGTTTTCGAGCACGGCTTCCGGCAAGTACTTATAATACGGCAATTTCCGGTCCACGAGACCGTATTTCAGAGCGAGCTCCTGCTGAAAAATTGTTGAATTAGTTAGAAAGTTCCGAACAACCGGAGATGACATGCCTAAGTGACTCACCGGGATGGCGACAAGCTCGACAGATGTCGACGGAGCCACCCTTTAGGATGTATCTCCGATAGTTGTTTGTCTTAACAACCTGATCCTGTATTGCACAGACAAAACCCTCGGTTTCCCCGAAGAGGTCACCAAAGCGTAGCCAGTGGAGGGAGGCTACTGCGTCTACGTAAGGCTCATGTAGAACCTTGTAGAACCTCCCGTGGAGTGAACAGGCATGACCCAACCGTTATATGCGTGTGTCTTATTCACACCAGACAAAAGGCTGTTGAGCACTTTGGTCAAGCGTGCATAAAACACGTCGCAAACTGACTGTTTCATACCAGCCTCATCGATACCGATGTTCTGTGACACACCCAGGTATCGGTATGTTTCAGCCTCGGAAAGGGTCCTTAAACTGATGGGAATAGATAAGTCTATGCCTTCAGAGTTAGCAACCTTTCCCCTTTCAGTATGGAGGACCGCACACTTATCCGTTCCCAGCTCCATTCCAATAGATTATTATTATTATAACGTATTCTCTGTCTACGTAGATACGGACCATAGGTTACTGACAATTTACAGAATCGGCAATTAATTTGCAAACGATTCGCAGTGGTTTCAATGTTCTCAGATCAATATCTTACAAGAAAAATGTATTTTTCTACTTTCTCGCGGCGTAAAAAGTTGTTTTAAATAAAGTTATAAACTGACAATTTTTTTCTCGAGATTATAAATATTTCTAACGATTCCGCAATTATCTAATTTTTTTACGATATGATTTATAAAATATGGTACACGAACCACCCGAATTGGTGTAGATCAGTTGACGAAAAAATAATTAATTTATTACTCAGTATCTATAGCAAATGACGCATTAAAAGCAATATTTACAGAATCGGCAATTAATTTGCAAACGATTCGCAGTGGTTTCAATGTTCTCAGGAGGCTCGTGACAGCTTAGTTCCATTCTACGCAACTTGGCGCTACCGTCGCAATTTGTCCTCTGTCTACGGACGCCATTTTGAGACGCCATATTGTGTTAATGTCAAATCATATTGTCAAAAATCAAAATTATCGATATTGATTGCCGCCATTATTTATCAAAATTTAATACAATATTCTGTTTTTGTGCTGCTCGTGTGAACATTGCATATACCATCATAATGGTATACGAAAAGTGTTGTATTGGTGGTTGCTGGTTGCAATACAACACGTGAAACGCACGCACCGGCTTTTCAGATTCCCTAGGAACAATAATTTAAGAAACTTGTGGATGTCTTTCATAGTGCCGACAAATCCCCAGCTCATTGTACTTTCCAAAGAACAGTTACTTAACAAACGTGTCTGTGAAAAACATTTTGATATATTTCAGTTCGACAATGAAGGCAGAAGACTGGTACTCTTACCCGTCCCTGCTTACTGACAATGAAATAGCTCCTCTGACTGCAACAGGTGAGTCATTTTATTACTTTCAACCATGGTACTTAAAGGAGAAGGACACGTCTCTATACATTCTTGGGCCCAAGTATTAACAAGATAAAAGTACGACCATTTGTAAGCATATACTATATAGACAATTCATAGCTGAAAATCTCGCAACATTTGTCAATGTAGGAACTGAGTTATGTGTAGAATAAGTAAAAGTGAGATTATCTATTGGCTGCACTGTAACAGGTGATTTTTCACTATTATTACACAGTTACAGGCTATTTTTCACTAGTATTACTTTAGTTTAGTTTGCGACGGGCTGTTTTCCGCAACTCCACGTCTATGCGCGTATTTTGCGTGTGGGCAGGAATAATGTGATTATTCGAGCCATGAGATCTCCCCGAAGAAGCTCTACAGTCCCTTGATGTTACATGCAAGTTCGGGGAGTGATCCCGGCGTGCCGAGATGTTTAGCCCTGTACGTAGCGACCTCCAGACATTTCAGTAGCACGTGGGCCGCCGTTTCTTCCTCCCCCATACATGCCCTGCACAGGGGACTATCTGTAACACCTATAGTAAATAAATGTTTGTTAAAGGTGCCGTGTCCTGTGATAGCACTAGTTACTATCCTGATCTGCGGCTTGTTTAGTCTCATTAGAACTTTGGTTAAGCGACTGTTTATTACAGGTAGGGCCTCCCTAGCTTGTCTACAGTCTACTAGATTTTTCCAAAGCTGAGCGTGTTGATTAGTGAAGTGTCTACGTACCATTGAACGAACGTTACCAAAGGGGATTGGTATGATTGGTTCCGGCCCTATAGTGGCCAGAGCCGATCCTCTTCTGGCCAGTTCGTCCGCTGCATCGTTGCCTCTGGATCCACTGTGTCCCTTTATCCATTGCAGAGTCACATTGTTGTTTTTACATACCTCATTTAATCGTTGATGGCATTCATATATTAGTCCCGAGTTCACCCCATTGCAACTCAGAGCTTGTAGTACCGCCCTACTGTCGGTCAGTATTCTGATGGGGAAGTCATTAACCTTCCTAGCATCTATTGCTATGGCCGCTTGAATGATACCCATACATTCCGCCTGAAAGACCGTGTTATAGGTACCCAGCGGTGTGCATATGTGAATATTGAGGTCTTCAGAGAAAGCTCCAGAACCTACACCTTCATTTGTTTTAGAACCATCGGTGAAAATTCTAAGCTCTTTTGGGCTTAATCCTTCCGGCTGGCTGTTTTCATTTAATTGTATCTTGTATTTCTTATCGAAAACAAATTGTTTAGGAATCCTATCGTATTTGGCTTGTAGGATAGGAATTTCTGAGTGAATTCTATCAATTATGCCTGTATGAGGGACACTATTCTTACTTCAAAGATTTAGGGTCTTGAGTCTGATGGCAGCTAAAGTCGCTTCTTGTTGTATATGTAGATGAAGCGGAGTTAGCTCCAGCATCGCTTCCAAGGCTGCTGTTGGCGTAGTTCTTATGCAGCCTGTGGCAGCCATACATGCCAGTCTCTGGTAGCGCTGAAGCTTCTTAATTGTGGTGGTATGTGATCATGGGCCGAATTACAGTTTTGTAAAGCCACAGTATGATTTTTGGCGTCAGTCCCCATCTTTTGCCAATCATGTTTCTGCATTGCCAGAAAGTTATACTAGCTTTGTTGATTTTGTTTTCTATGTGTTTATTCCAGTTAAGTTTGCTGTCCAAGGTAAGACCTAAATATTTTACCTCAGAGGATAGCTGGAGTTTTGTGCTGAAAAGACTTGGAAGATGATAGTTATTCAGCATTCGTTTTTGTGTGAACATTACTAAAACCGTTTTATTTGGGTTAATGGTTAAGTCGTATTCCCTGCACCATCTCTCCACTATACGGAGAGCCGCTTGGGTCAGGTCGCACACTATGCTAGCTGTCTTTCCCGAGACCAGTATAGTCAGGTCATCAGCATAACCTACTGTATAAAAGTGATTAGTATTTAATTTGCTGATGAGTTCATTAATGACCATATTCCACAGGAGAGGTGAGAGGGACCCCCACCCTGCGGGCAACCTTTCTTAATTAGGATTGGTTGAGATTCACCAGCAATCTTTATTATTCGTGTACTGAGCATGCAAACTATCCAGTCGATCAGTGCCGATTCAACTTTATGTCTACTGAGTGCACCTTTTATGCTGGAGAAGTTTGTTCTGTCAAAAGCACCTTCTATATCTATGAAGGAACCTAGACATATTTCTTTGTTTTGGATGGCCCCTTCAATCTTTGTAATTACCTGATGAAGTGCCGATTCTGTTGATTTGCCTAGACTGTAGGCGTGTTGCTTGTCGTGTAGTGGTAAGTTCATTAGCGCCGACCCCCTTAATTCCCTTTCACACATCCTCTCCATCGTCTTTAGGAGAAAGGATGTGAGGCTAATGGGCCTGTAGGATTTAGGGTCAGTGTAATCGCTCTTACCTGGTTTGGGTATAAATGTGATTTTCACTTCCCTCCATCCCCTAGGAACATATTTTAGAGCCAGACAGGCTCTCATTATGGCAACAAGTCTGACTATTAGGGCTTTACCCCTCCACTGTAGGAGTGCCGGGAATATGGCCGTCAGGTCCTGCCGCCTTATAGGGGGAGGAAACTGTGAATGGCCCAATGGATTTTGTCCATCGTTACCACTCTCTGTGCTAAATTCCAGTCTTCTACTGTTGGTGTCAGTATGTCGTCATGCCGGTTTGCCTCCTGGGTTAAGCAGCAACCTGGGAAGTGCGTTTTAATTAGGATGCGTTGGGCTTCATCCGGCGATGTTGAGTAGCTACCGTCGGGTTTCTTTAGAGACATGGATCCCGACGTGTTCTGTTTAGCTAGAATATTCCTTATCCTATTTGCTTGTTTGCAGGTTTCTATGTTGCCACAGAATTTACGCCACCCAGTCGAGCGTCGATACCTGATACATTTTTTGTATTCAGACTTAGCTTTCTTATATAGTAGCCAGTCTTCATCCATTGAGGTATTCATGGCCCTGTTTAGGGCTTTTCTTACCTTCTTACGTTTCCTATCGAGTTCTACACCCCACCACTGTTGCTTTACCTCGGCATGCCTTGGTGGAGTGATTTCTGGAAATGATTCATGGTAGCTATCTATCATGGCCTTAGTAACAGCTGCTACCTGTTCTTCTAGGAGCGACTGATCTGCTATAGTATTTATCCCCTCAGAACCCGCGAGCGAAGACGTCAACCTATTTAGGTATTTTGTTTTATCCGTCTTGCGGGGATTTCTCCATGGTGGTGTAGAGGGGATATCGACCTGTAGTGCGAAGCAAATCCATCTATGGTCTGAGCATGAGGCCTCTTTCGACACATGCCATCCCGTAATTAGTTTGGCTGCTCCTTCTGTTGCAAGTGTGAGGTCGATTATAGTGCGACAGCGTTTGTTTATGAAAGTAGGTTCAGAACCTATGTTTAAAATGGTTAGGTTAGTACTAAATAAATATTCAACTAAAACCTTACCTCGTTCATTAGGTTTTTCCATTCCCCAAAGGGGATGATGTGCGTTGGAGTCCGTCCCGATCACAACCTCTAGTTCGGTCCTCTCGCAGAAGTTCACCAGCCTGCCGAGGTCATGAGGGGGGAGGAGTGTCTTCCTCCGGCATGTAGACCGAGGCGACGACTACACTTCTCTCCTGTGTGTATTGTATTGCCACGGCATACATGTCTCTAGAATAGAAATCTGTTAATGGTTGTGCACAGATATCTTTAGTAGTGTAGATACACGCTCTAGGCTTGTCGTGTTCAGAGCTGTAGAATAGCTTACCTTTTAGGTTGTTTAGGCCTTTAATTTTACCAGCCCCAACCCACGGCTCCTGGATTAAGGCTATGGCAGTCCTTTGAACCTCCAACCACTTGCGTAATTGAGCCGACGCAGTTTCGCTGTGGTGGAGGTTGGCCTGCACTAGGCTAGTTTTGGACGAAGGGCACGCCATCATTGATCGCGTCCTCCCCGTCCCCGCCCAAAAATAGGCCTGCCAGAAGATCTCGGGTCTCTTCGTCAGCCACCGAGTCGGAAGTGGTCGGCAAAATGCAGTCCTCTTCGTCACTCAGTGAGCTGCCGCTGAGCCCGATCTCCACTGGTGGCTTTGCCTCAGTTGTGCAGGCCGTTTTTTCACTGGACTTGGCCTCCAGTGATTCCGCTGTACCGGTAACCGTGGCTCCGGTATCCATAACTTCCGGGCTGTTTTCTACCTCTTTGCTCGGTGGAGTATCAAAGAATTTACCTCCACGACCCTGGAATTTTACGTATACCGCCCCGCATACGCATGCGAGACGGCGTCCGGCCTTCATCAGGGTCGGGATGTGATCCTCCGGCACCGAAACAACGAGGAACCACCCGTCCGTCTGCTTATCAGCCTTGAGTAACAGCCAGTCCCTGATGTTAACCCAGCGGTTCTGGTACAGCACGCGACCAATGTCACGTGAGTCTTTCCAGGCTCCTTGGGCATCAGGGATTAGGATACCACATTTGACTCTTTGTGGTATCTCTGACTGTTTTTTTATAGTCAGCAAGGTGTTGGATTTAAGATCGAGGGTAGCAATATTCCCCTTCAACCAGTCCAGAGCCTTCTGATCGTCGCACCACAGTTTCAGGACACCCTCCGTATATACGGGTTTGCCCCTAAAAACTGGTCCTTCCTCTGTATTGCTACGAGGATGTCGTCTGCTACTTCCTTCGTAATGTGACCTGAACGCGCACACGTTAAGGCCACACCCAAATCTGCTCTAGCAGCGGAAGCGTAGCTCGTTCTTGCAGCCTTTGGTTGCTGTCCGAGTCGCACTTTTTTGTGTTCCCCTCTAGGCGAGGTGGACTCTTCAAGCATCCTTTTGGCTGCTCTTTCCTTCTTCCCAGGACGCTTGGCCGCTCGCTGCTTCCTGGCGGATATCCTAGAACTGGTTCCCGCGGCCGCGACTTCCACTTGGTCTGGATTTTTATCCTTCCCAGCTTCAGTGCGGCTACTGGTTCCAGCTCCAAGCACCCCAGTCGCAG